ACTCCTTGTCCATGCCCCCTGCTATTTGCCTATGGCCCTGCAGCCCTCCTCGGCTCTTCCCAACCACCCACCACATGCCATCCCTGCTGCGCTTTCCCCCCCCCGCCCCCACCCACAAAACTAGCAGGTTCTCGTTCCGTCTATGCTTCGCTCAGTTGGCTGCCCGCCGCTTCGCTGAACAAATATACTGTCCACCCAACCTCTTGGTGAAGAAACCAGACCTCTCTGTTTGAGTTGCTCCTGCTCTGACTTGTATGAACCTGCCCATCCCCTATTCATCCAGGAAGAACAAAGAATGAGAAAGAGAATCCTGGACGAACAAAGTATTTAAGAATAAATACTGTGTAATAATGTATTGCAGTCCAATCTTCATAACCTGCCAGCATGAATAAGAAGAGCTTCGCTGCATGGGAGTAAGAAGCGCCCGACCATATCACACTGCCTCACCATGACCTGTTTACTTCTCTCTTGTCCTTCTGCGGAGCGGCTGCCCTAAACCAACCACCTTTTGAAAGTGCGCCTTTGGATTGAACAGACGAACGGCACATATCTAGAGGCAAGAACTGGTAAAGATGACAAGTCCCTTTCAACATAACAATGCTGAGCCCCCTCCCTCTAAAGCATTCACAGGCAGAGCAACAAAAGAGGGACAACCCCTGTAATACTAGGAGCTGAACCACCTAGAACTGGTGAGCATGCGGTCGGGAGTCCAAATCCTGTCCAAACATAACAATGCTGAGGCCTGGCACGCTCAAACGCATTTTGGCAGAGCCACAAAACAGCAAATATTAAAAAAAAAAAAAAAAAAAGCAAGCAACTATTTGCTGTCATAATATACTTGAGAACTGAACCATCCATATCTTCATCTATCATCATCATCATCAAAACAATGACAATCATCATCATCATCATCATCATCATCATCATCATCACCAATCACCATCATCATGATTGATTCCACCAATGATGGTCATCATCATCATAATCATGATTGATTTCACCGATGATGATCATCATCAGTGGTCATCATTATAACAGTTATCACAATCCCCATGGATTTGGGTGTTGTCCACTGCCTGCTGAGAACAGCCATCGCACCACATCAATATGGCTGCTGTGCCATTTAAAGATCCGTCTAAAGATATATCTTGTGCCTTCATCTAAAGATATCTTTTTTCCTTCATCACCTCCTAACCTTTTCACTCCTTCCTTGTTCGGTTCAAACTTTTTTTTTTTCTTCTTCCCCTGTAAGATTATCATCCCCCYCCCCCCCCCCCSTCYCCTCTCTCTCTCCCCCTAAAAAGATTATCACCCCCGTCTGGCAAAAAAACACATTCACCATAGCACTTCAGTCAATCACAGTCGATCAAACGCATGACACTTTTTTTCTTTTTTCTTTTCATGGCACATCCATGGTTTAGAAAGGCACCGACTGCTGCCCTGGCGACGATTTCGTGCCGACAATTTTGCCAACGCTAGCACTCACTGCCGGGGTTCATATGTGACCACTGCATCCAGCATTGCTACAGGACCATTATCATTATCATTACTGCGGCCGATCCTTGAGCTCCACTGTGGTAGGTGGAGGGGGGGTCACACCAAGACTTTAGGGGGAAAAGAAAAAAGGCACCTTACGTGTCTGTAGACGACATCTGCTGGAGCAAGACAAAAAGAACAAAAAAGACAAAAGGTGAAAAAAGAATGCCAAAATTGCAAACCTGTGCGCTTCTAACCCCTTGCCAAGGAAAGCTCATTTTCAATTCATACAAAAAAAAAGGAAAAGACTTCTGAATTACTCTTTATCCCGTGCATTTCAATTCCCACGGCGTGCCCGTGGGGGAGGAGGGCTGCAACGTTATTTTGCTATCTCTATTTTCGCTCTTTGCATATTTTCTCTTTCTTCGTCATTGCTATCGCTATTTTCGCTCTTTTCATGTTTTCTCTTTCTTGAAGTTTTTTCGTGTTTTTTTTTTTTTTTTTTTTCGTGTTTCTAACTTCAAATGCTTTTAAGATTTCGATCTTTTAAAGAGGGTTTTGCACAGGTCGTCGTGTGCTTTGATTGATGGGTGCTGGTTCGCTTCGGTGCCGTGATGACAGGGGAAAAAAAAAAAAACAAAAAAAAAAACAACGGAAAGTCTAAGAATCTCACCCTGGGGTCATCTGTCTGTATTGTTTGTCTGTCTGTCTGTCTGTCTTTATCTGAGCCCCGCCCACTCGCCCTCCCTCTCAATCCCCCACGTGTGTCCTTCCCCCACCCACCACACATTTTGTCCTCCACCGTCCTGCATGTGTTTGCCCTGGACCTAACGTGGTCTTTCCCTCCCTCTGCTACTGCGCCTCTCTCGACACCACTCTCGCTTGCATCTGTTCCTCAAGAAACTCACGGCACGCAGTCACGCGTTTGTCCTTCCTCTCTCACGGCACCTCTTACCCTACCTCTCCCATTTATCCCGGCTGTTCTCCCAATTGATTCCCTCCTGCTGTCCGATGTATCCCCTGCTCTTCTCTCCCTTGATCCCTGCTGCTCTCCCATTTATCCCTGCTTCTCTCACATTTACCCCTCCTGCTTTCCCCTGCTTCTCTCACATTTACCCCTCTCCTGCTTTCCCCAGCTTCTCTCACATTTACCCCTCTCCTGCTTTCCCCTGCTGCGCTCACATTTACCCGTGCTGCTTTTCCCTGCTGCTCTCACATTTACCCCTGCTGCTTTCCCCCGCTGCTCTCACATTTACCCCTGCTGCGCTCACGTTTATCTCAATCTCCCCGCCCCCGCTCGTTCCTGTCCTTCCTGTCTCACGTCCCTATACCCACCCTGCTCTCCCATGTATCTCTATTTCCCCGCCTGCTGGTTCATGTCCCTTGCTTCCGCGCTTCTGCCTCTCTCTCTCCCCCCTACCTCCCTCTTCCCCTACCTACACCCCACACCGCTGCTCCCTCTCTCTCTTCCCCTATCCCCTCCCCCCCTCCCCCCGGTCCTTCCCTCCCTTTCTCTTTTCCTCTCAGTGGTGTCCAGACAAGCCTACAGTGCTGGGAAGCTGCTCTGAAGATGGCGTTGTGAACATATGGGACATCGACAAGGTCCGTATGCGCGCGGTGCCCCCTTTCTTCTCTTCTCCCACCCTCCCTCCCTCCCTCCCTCTTCCCCATCCTGCGTGGCACAGCATCTAGCGGATACGGTCAGGTACGAGCTTCCCAGATAGGAAAAGACGCCTCCTCTCTCATAAACACTATCTTGGAGAGTGTTTTCTCCCTAGACAAGTGTTCTCCCTTTTTTTGTCCCATCAAAAAGCCGCAGCCATAGTCAAATCGCCATCCATACAGAACATCCCCTCTCTCTGCAAGCTGCAAGAAATGGTATAGCAAGATGCAGGGCAGAAAACGCAAAGCTGTACACCGTCTGCAGAACCCTTTTTCGCCTCCTATTCTTTACTCACATGCAAAAGGTTCTGCTATTCAATCTTCATTCGCTCAAGATGAGCAATAATTTTGCAGAGCACAACACACAAGAATACGACCTGTCTGGGAGAGGGAGGGGGACGGGGAGGGGGAGGAGAAGGAGGAGGAGGAGGAAGGCGAGAGAGAGAGAGGGAGGAAGAGGAAGAGGGAGAGGGAGAGACAGCTTCAAGAGGAGTAAAGGAAAAGCCAAACGAGAGAGGAACTGAGCGATCTTGAAGGCAAAGACCCGCGCTGCCTTTCGCCCATATTTGCAAAACGGTTTTTTACCTTTTTAATCATTAGAGACTACTCCCCCATACACCATGCGTCACATTACTTCTCTACTCCTCGCCGGCTCCCTCCTTTTGTACAGACAGACGATTTGACACACCCTAATGTAGCCGCCTAGACGGAAAAAGTAGGAGGAACCTGAACTTCACAGCCGGCGCACTAGGGAATTCTACCCTCTCCTCTCTCCTCTCACTAATCCGCATTACCCGCTCCTCCCTCTCGCTGCTTTCTCTGCGATTGATGTTCCCAGCTTGCTCAGCTCCAGGGGGCCCAACCGTACATTAACGCCTCTTCAAGTCTTTTTGCTCCTCAACTGCCCTGAACGACCTCTCTCTCTCTCTCTCTCTCTCTCTCTCTCTCTCTCTCTCTCTCTCTCTCTCTCTCTCTCTCTCTGTGTGTGTGTGCCACACACACACACACACAGAGAACATACCCTCATTTTCATCTAAGCATCAAACGCTTGATTTTCCCCCTCTCTCTCTCTCTCTCTCTCTCTCTCTCTCTCTCTCTCTCTCTCTCTCTCACCGCCGACCGGTCGCTAGTCACTCCTCCTCGCTCACTCTCTCCTCCAGCTCCGACAAAGCTCACGATCTGACACGTTACACAGCCTACGTTGTACTCAGTCGAATCAGCACTGGTCTCGTCGCACAAAAACACTCCTACCCAGCCCCGGCCCTCCACCCGTCGATCTGCACATCAAAACCCTAATTGCCGTCGCTTGTGCTTGTGGCCGAGATTCCTCCTACACGGAGCTGCCTGTCTTTGTGCGTTTTCTCTTTCTTTCCTCTCTGCTCGCGGCACGTAAGAGGCAGCAGCAGACGAAGCCCTGGCCAGTCCCCTGGAGATAAGCCAGCCGTCTGCCGTCACAACTCGTATACGGAAAGGCCAAGCTTTGCGGGAGGAGGATTCATAGCTTGCAATGCCTCCCTCACAAGCGGGCTCGCGAACGGACCGCTGAACCCCATCGACGGTTCCGCGTAGAAAGGCTGCGGAGGCGGCAATCCCCGCGTCACAGGAGCGCGGACCCCTGAGAAAGCAAGGTTTCGAGGGGCAGGAATGGCACAAATAGGGGGAAGCGCGCCAAGCTGAGGCTTAATATCGTCGTAGAAGGCATGCAATGACGGTACTTGCGCAGCCAAGGAATCTTGCGGCGGCGCGCCGATGAGGGCGGCGGAAGCGGAAGGATGCTGAACAGACGGCGGAGGGGCGGAGAAGGGTTGCGATTGCGATTGCGACTGCGACGGAGTGGGCGGGTAGAAGCCAGGGGGAAGCATCGAAGTGCTGGGGGGTGCTGTTGCCATGGCGGAGTTATTCCCCCCCCCTGCCATCTGCCCCCCCGCCATACCCATGGGCGCAGCAACGGCGCTCGGGACGGGGTTATGGGGGGGGGGAAAGGCGGGTTCCACCCCGGCCAACGACGGCGTCTGGCGCCGATCACCTCCATCCTCAGGAAACACCTCCTCCTCTGCTTTTACCCTCTTAACTGGGCGACTATTCACGTAGCCATCGACGGCGCCACCAGATCGCCCGCGGCCCAGAAGCGCTGTCTCTCCGCCGCCGCCTCCCTCTCCTTCCCCCTCATCTTCCGAGAACGGGTAAGTGTGCAAACCAGTCGCCTCCGCGCCCGTGGCCAGCATCATCGGCTGCGACTGCGGTGTAGGAGAGAGCCCAATGGACATCCGTCTTGCACGCAGTATGTCCTGCAGGTTATCTTGATGACAAACGCATCTCGCGATCTCTTTCCCCCTCGTCGCCAACTCCCAGAAAGAGACGGACAGGTCCGCTGCATATCTCATCAGCGTAAGACCGGCTTGGCGCACAGCCTGCGAGTTCATACTTTGCGGCGGCTGATCGTACACCTCAACAACCTTGCCCTGGCTGTCTATTGTCTGCAGTACTCTCCCTTGCATTGGGTCCCTTCCCTCAGCAGCGTTTGTTGCTCGCCATTGACTCAGCTGCTCCATGAACTGCTCCAGCTTGCGCGCTTCTACGTAATAGATGTCCGCTGATCTGATTAGTCTTTGCGCCCAGCTCACCTGGAACTGCAGACCCCTCACCTCGGGCGGGTCATCCTTCAGCCATTCTTTCCGGAAAGTCAGCACTTTGACCGCGTGCATGAAAGCTATCATGCCCTCAAACTCGGCCTTGTGCTGCACCGGTCTACTCCGGACGTACACGACGACTTCCAGAGGCACGTGCTGACCGTAGATTATGCTCAGACCCACTCTTTGGTAATTAGACTTCCAGACGCCTTTGCCAGTGCCCTTGTTTGCAGGGATTTCACTAGCGGGAATGTGCGCGATGACTGCAGGAGGGGTTTCGTTCCAATCTTGCAACAGCAAGGTGCTGTGATGAGGGGTCAGCAAGGGGACCCCTATCTCCACCCCTCCAGCCCGCACAGCCCTCGATTTGAACCGATCTAGGTCGCTGACTGCTTTCATGACTTGTTCGTGGAACGCTTGAATGACGCCGTAACTGAGCGGGCAAGGTGTCAACGGCCCGCCCACCCACGGCGGAGCTTGGGCGGGAAACGGCGCAAGAGGCATGCCAGCCTCCTCTAGCGCCGAGTTCAGGAAGTCCCATCGCGCCGTCACCGCCGCTTCGCGCTGCTCGTCGGCAGTCAACAACTTCTCCCCCAGCGGCTTCCGGATCCTCCTGTGTCCAAATCTTCCCATTCGTCTACCTCCTCCTCCTACTCCTCCTCCTCCTCCTCCCCCTACTCCTACTCCTACTGCTCCACCTCCAACCCCCTCTCCCCCTCCCCCTCCCCCTCCCCCTTCTCCTTCCACGGCCCCTAGCCCCTCCCTTCCGTCTTTCCTTCTCGGCGGTTTCCTCTTCCTTCCTTTCCGCCAGGGTCGACGTTCCCCATTGTTCCGCTCACGCTCCGGTTCGGCGGCGGCGGCGGCGGCGGCAGCGGCGGCGATGGCCACGGGCATCGGTTGTTGGGCCTCCGTGGTTGGAGACTGACACGTACGCCCAGTAGGGTTTAGTAGAGCCGCGTCTCCGAACTCCAAAGCAGTCGGATCCGGATCCGGATCCGTCTAGCGACCACTCTCCAACGAGCGCACGCACAAAATGCGGTGTGCAGAAAGCTCAACCGAGGCTGAAAAGATGAATATATACATATATTTGCGCCCAAGGTCGTTGAGTTCTCCGTCGGAACCTGTGCCCCAACCAGTCCCCCTCCTCCCCCCTCTCCCCCCCCCAGCACTTCCCCCTTCTTCTCCTCCGAAGCCACTCAAATCTATACGCTGGCGATCTGACGTCCCGAGCGATCTCGCCCCAGGGGAACCAAGACTGGCTGGCTGGCTGGCTGAACCCGTCGCCAAAATGCTTCCTGCCCCCACGCACACACACACAACGCTCCTGCCACTGCCAACGTGGCAATCACCCAGCGATTTCCCCCCAAAGCCAATCACTCACTCACGCTTGTGCCGACCGGAACCACCTCTCCCTCCTCATCCTCAGACAGACACGATGATCGTCTCTCTCTCCTTCTCTCTCTCTCCTCAGACCCAACCCACCACCGGGCGATTGCCCCCACCGGATCGCTCACACGGTTGTCCCCACCGAACCTTTCTCTCGTCAGACTACGCGACTCTGCCACCGGGCCGAATCCACCGCCACTGTCCTCACCGAAAGTTCTGAGGAGTACTTTCCTCGAGGTCGATGCCCACTGCCCACTGCCCACTCCCATCCCACACGCTCGGTAGGTAGTCGCACTCCCGTGGGCAGCGATCGGCAGGCTACAAGAATCTGTTCTTTCCTCCTCCGGTTCGTTCCATGTCCAAATCCAAATCTAATAGGGTAGGGCCTCGCCACACCACTCTCGAATTGTGAAAACGACAAAAATGTGGCGGGTGCATCTGGCTATGTTCTCGCCGGAAGTTCATTCTCACATTTTGCACATTTCGAGAGTGGTGTGGCGATGCCCGTAGTTTGGGGTCCATTCCATACTTTCGGAAGGGGGGAAAAAAAAAAAAAAAGCGGACACGGGTCCTGTTTTGTTATGGGGGCCCGATTCCACTGCGGGCGCAAATCCGCCTATTCCCTACCCCTGGGCAAAATCTCAGCCCCGAGCCTCGATCTGGTTTTCTTTTTTTGCAGAAAGGGCGACGGTCGTGAGATATGATGCTTGAACGGACTGGCCTCAGGTGGGAGGTCCCACCAGCAAAGAGGATTGGATTAAGATCCTGAATATGGTCGTCTTATAAGCACAGATGCAGAAAAGCAGTTCAATCGCGAGTTTCTGCAACTTTCCACAAACACGCCCAGATACAGGAGTTCGATGCAAGCCTCTTTGCTGGTGGGACCTCGCGCCAGGTAAATTGCGACTGGGTGCTGGTTTCCGAACCTGGGACTGGCTTTTTTTTTTTTTTTTTTTTTTTATGGAACTGCCTTTCAACAGTTCATGGTGTACCGGACCGCATTTACGGCCGGGTCCGGATGTATCTCACGCTTACGTCCATAAATAAGTTAAAAAAGTCCTACCGGTAGTGTGCGTATCCCCGGGGGCCAAGTCCCACTAGCAGCGTTGAGCTACCTCAACGCCTGAATGTGCTCGCTTTTGCGGAGATGTGCAGAAATGATGTTGAGTTTCCCGAACTGTACGTCTCCACAAACACGTCCAGATTCGGGCGTTGAGGTAGCTCAACGCTGCTACCGTCTTCCCCCGAACACAACGCACCCCCATTTTGCCTGTATCGGGCCGGAAACCACCTTGTATACGTTCATTTTCAGGGTGTGTTATGTTCGGGGGAAGATGGTAGTGGGACTTGGCCCCGGCAGGCCCGTTGGTGATCCAGTTTTGTTGGGCGCCCCGCAAATTCCCACCACGAGAATTTTCAACAGAGCGGGAATAGACTACGATAAAGCAGAGACCGACACCGAGACCGAGACCGAGACTATGCAGTGTTCTTCTCGACCGATTGCACTCCGCAAAATTCTTGGTGGGAATTTTGAAAGAATTTTGAACGATTGAAGTTTTCTTGTGACCAGGCGGCCAAGTCCCAATACATGGCGTTTTTCATTTCTGGCCATGGATCTGCATATTCCCACCACGATTGGCGGTCAAGAACGAAGAACACACCCCAGTGGGACCTGGCCCCGAGACCCATTGACTTACAACCACAGTGCAGGACCACCGTAGCCAACACACACGCCAGTGGGACCTCGCCGCGGGACCGTTGACTTACAACCACAGCGCAGGAACCTGCCCCGTGTCCACGGCCAAGCCAACATACGCCAGTGGGACCTCGCCGCGGGACCCATTGACTTAGCACCACAGCGCAGGAACCTGCGCCATGTCCGCAGCTGGCTTGGCCGCACCGAGTGTCCTGGGCAGGAGGAGGACAAGCCCGCCGGCTTGACCGCACTGAGTCTCCTGGGCAGGAGGGGGACAAACCCGGTAGAAAGCCCAGTTGTAGCAGGGCAGTTCTATAGCAGCCCACTGTAACCTGTGGCCCTCTACAGGACAGTAAAATATTGGCTTACAGTGGGGGCAAAGGGAACGTAGCCCTAAGGTCCCTGGATTTTTTTATTTTTTTTTTACCTTTCCCGCTGTGGGGGAAAAGTAAGAATATAGCCTATACCACATATTTCGGGGGCTGGGCCGAACCGCAGCTGCCATTGATAAATTTCACTGGCGGCCGCCATGTTGTTTCAGCCTCGGAAACATGTGGGGACCCACCCCGCGGCCGATACGAGGGAAGGGTAGTGGTGGTTAACACACACACACACACACACACACACACACACACACAC